AGTTTCAGTGAACAGAACAGCAACTTGTAAGCCTGTGAGATAAGAGAATAGAGCATATGCAAGCAACTTAAACAGTCCAATACAGTCAAAAAGGTGGGAGGTAAGACCAGAAAAGCAAGCTGACAAATGACTGAGTTTTGTAAGCTCTGTTAAGGATGGAGGACATTATACTAAGGACAAAAATCAGTCAGTGAAGGGCACTGAGAGAGAAGAAGTATGACTCTGAGATCCACTCTTAATACTCAAAGTGATGGGTTTAGTCAGAAGGCCAATGAAGTAAGGATTTAAGAGATGACAGCTTAGATTTGTGCTACTCAAACTGTGGTTCATGGATTAGCAGCCCGAGTCACCTCGTAAAGCAAAGGAGTTTGTGTCAGAATTTGTATTTATAGCAATATCGACACTAAACATACTATAGCTAAACGTATGCTCATCTGCATTCTGGTACAAGCTCCTTGTAGCTTCAGAGATCAGAACTTTGAATAACACTGACAGACTATGGTGATAGCAAGAGAGTTGGAGACAAAAGGGTAGATAAAAGGAAAATTTAGGATCTAGAATTGGGACAATTTGGTGATAGGCTGAAAGGAAGAAGAACAAAGAAGATTCAACGTTTCCTGGCTTGATTCTTAGACTAATTGGTACTCTGCCCTTTGCTGACACAGGGGATACTGGAAGCTGAACAGGTTCTGGTGGGCGGGGTTTTCTGGGAGGGGCAGGCGCGGCAGGACTGAACACGCTGCAGGTCGCAGGCGCCTGTGGTCTAATGCTTTCCTAGCCCGTGTCTCTCAAATGTGCTGTGAGCTAGGAAAGGCGATGTGAGTGCTGTGAGAGCCACAGAGGTGTAGCCAAGCTGTAAGGTCAAGTGAGGCTCACCTGGCAGGGAGGGAAGGAGCAGTCAGAGAGGCAGATGAGAAGTGTCAGAGACCTGGAGAAACGAGGGTTTTAACACAGGAAACGGTTCAGTGTCAAATGTTACCCAGAAGTTAGGGTAGATAAAGACCGAGCAATTCTGTTGAGATCACTGGTGAAACCGGGAAGAACAATTCACGTAAATGGGAGCTGAAACCAAGTTACAGTAGGTAGAGAAATAAGAAGAGGATAGTAAGTATAAACTGCAAATGAAAACAGCTTATTTAAGAAGTCTGGTTATAAATGAAAAAAGAGAGACACGTGGTAAGATTATGTGGAGTTACGGGTAAATTCACTTTAAAAAAGTGAGAGGCTTAAGCACCCTTGAAATGCTGGTGAGAAGCAGCCAACAGAAAGAAACACATGAGACAGAGAGAAGACCACAGAGGGCAAAGGCTCTCAGGAGGCAGGGCAGGGATGGGATCTAGCATTTTCTGGTCTCAGAAATATCTCCTTTCATTTAGAAGGGAAAGGTATGTGTGGGTATAAGCAGATTTTGCGAAAAAAGTTGGAGTTTTCGCCTGATGGTTTCTATTTTTTCTGAGAAGCAATAAGTATGGTCATAAGAGTGAAGAGAGACTTGGTGGAAGGAGAAATGTCTATCTGACACAGTAATTGTGCAAAATAGGGGAACATGCTGACTGGAGAAATGTGGTAAGATTTTTCAAGGAGAGGAGAGGGTCTATTTGTAGTTAAACTGGTACTAATTGTTAGATTATGTGATACTCCCTAGGTATATACTCAACAATCTAGATAAAAGCATGAAGAAAAATTACTGGAGCCATCAAAAGTGTACGTTTTAATAAGGAGTCTGGATTACAAGATAATGGGGCAAGCAAGTAAAAAACCAACTCCTTTTTCTTTCGCTAACATGTAAAATATAGTTGAGTTCAGATAACAGAATTAAAGCTTAAAAAAATAATTACCTTTCTTAAAATTACGATTGTATATCTTCACAGAGGAGACCTGAGTGAGTGTATATGAACATTCACAGACACCAATAGTTTAATACTTACTTTCTGTGCACAGAGGATTGGTTAAACGAAAGCCTCAAATATTTAAAGATACACATATAAACTACTTTCTCCACTGAACGATATAGCCCAAATGCAGTATAATTCCAAATCAAATTCCACTGGTCCTTTACCAAATACTCTTCCTCTGGATCAGAAGGGAATGGCAAAGAAAATATTACACATTAAAAAAAATGTTCACTGTATTTAAATTTCTTTGAAGTTGTGAAAAATGCCATTAAGAAGATGGCTTCAGATTGCCTGCTACTGATGAAAGCTCATACCGCAATGATTTTGGTAACTCTTTAAATATAAAACATCTCCAAAGTTGGAGGCCTGGGACATGTTAAGAAAGATAATTATTAAAAAATAAATCAAAGAAAGAAAAGAAAGAAAGGAAGGAAGGAAGAAAGAAAAGAAAAAAATTCTAATTGTTAATTTATTCCTGAAAAGGGAAATATAATATGATTAGATCATGCCAACTGGGAACCAGTGAGTAGCAACATACTGGAAAAAAGTAAACTGAAAAAATGTCTATCTTAAAAATACTGTACATTGTAAGAAATTTACCTCTCTGAATCTTAGCACAGCTGTGTATAAGAACCATTCCTGTTCTGATTATAACATAGAAAAAAACAAGATAACAGAATTTGGAAAACCATTTCAACTATGCTATTATTCCTAGTATAGCTTTTCTGCTACCTGAAGCTATTTCTGCGCCCCAAGTGATATTCTAAGGATGGAACGCAATGGAACAGTAACTTTAAATGGCTGCGGTTCCATACAAGTCTTCTTGATCTGGAGGAAGCACTGGTAACAGACCATAATAGTCTGAAAGTGAAAGAGTGAAAGGGAGAAAAAGAAGTAAGACAAATACAAGTAGAGAGAGCAAATTTAAAATGGTTTAATAACAATGGCTTCATCATAAATATTTAATAGTTTAATAAAGGGATAATAGTAACAATGAGATAATACGGCACAAGAAGTTAATGAGACAGAGAAAGGTAGATTTAAATCGACGTACAAACAGAAGATTAAGCATTTACGAAGCAAAGATGTGGAACAGTTTTCAACGGCAGCCATGACATGGGTAGATTTTATTTCTTTAAATAGTTTCTTACCCTCATATGTTACAACAACAAAAAGGTAAATGATGTGAATGAAAAGAACCCACACAGAAAACCTGTGTTTTAAAAAAATATTTTAAAAGAATACTGAAAATAAGCTGAGAGCCTATCATAGCAATTGAGCCACATGTGTATTGATACATTTCAGCCAAACTATTTAACAGTTAAATTAACTGCTTTGAAACTCCCACTGGAAACCTTAAAATTTTATACAGATAGGCATGCACAATACAATCTTCTGCTCTAGCCTCAAGAGCACAAAACTTTTGGGCCTAAATCAAACAAAAATGCAAAATAAGCCTATATTATAGGTAACTAAACATATAATTATTGTTAAAATAAGTATTTTTTTATTACAAATACTAAGCTTTTATAGTATTATTTTACTGAAACCAACCTGTGCCACCTAAAATGCTCTGTATATGGTATTACTAAGTTATCCCAGTATTAATATTATATATATATAGATATCTCCATCTGCCATCAAAAATATTACCATCTTAAAAACAGCTAGACTTACTAGTTTTGCTTGCTGAGCATTAACTGGATCACCGTACTGGAGGAGAGCTTGAAACTGGTTATTTTTTGTAAATGTGATTATCTTCAATACAGCACCAAACTTCGAAAATATCTGTTAAAACATTAAAATCGAAACAAATTTTATCTATTGTATTATTATTTCTCCAATTTACAGATTAACATGCCAATTAGATTACACTTACTTGGTGAAGAACATCAAGTGTTACCGGGTAATACATGTTGTCAATAATTATTCTAAGCACTGGACTCTGGGCAGGAGTCACTGCACTCTCACTGACTGTGGTGCCACTAAGAGGGGTATTTGCTGTCTGGACAGCTGTCACAGCTTGAAGAACGGCCTGAGCACGCTGAAAATGGAAAGATAAGCACCTCAGAAACTTTCCTGGTATTTTCAACATATACAGATCAAATAAAATCTAACACTCAAATACTTTAGAGCACCTGCCAGGGACCAGGTATTGTCTGTTTATAATTCAAGAATTCTAGTAGTATTTACTTCAAAACAATTATCTAGGGGTCGAGACCAGCGGAAAATACAGGCAATGTAGCTTATTCTCAAAAGAACAAGACTTAGCCTGACAGATTCATATACTCATAAAATGTGTAATTCATAAAATGTTTTAAACAGAAACTTTGAGAGAACAATAAAACTTTAACATATTCACTCATAAAAAAGGCACATAGTGAACTTCCACAAGGGGGTTATAAGATTATCGAAAAACACCAATAAAACTTATGTCTAATAAATCCTAAAAGAGAAATATTCAGATACAAATTAAGTCTTTTTCATAGTGGTGTAACTTCCGAAATCAGAATCTTTGAAACAGAAAATGATGTATACCATAGTACAAAGCCAAAAAATTTTCAGGAATACTTCAAGATAAAATACAAAGTATATTTCCATACATTTTATGGTATCTAATACACCATTAAGTATAAAACATTATTATTTTCTGTAGGACTAATAAGATATTGCTAACTGAATCATGACATCAACTATTATAGGTTGACATGACATGTTAATTTGAGATTTTAAAATATGAAAAAATATACATAAGGAATTGAAAAAATACAGCATTGTTTTGTGAAACCTGTCTACTAACTCATGTTGAATGCTCCAAAAATATTGCCTTTATTCTATTATGCCTTTCCTATTTAACAACAGGACAAAACTGGCAAAATTCACTGATAAGGAAATTCTTTCTTTCTGCCTTATCTCAGGTCAGAAAACCTATGTAAAGGCGAATAGCTGTTAAATATATAATAATGACAAATACCGCTACACTGTCTCATAGTTTGAAAAAAGTCTACTGGCAGATGAGCAGGAATATAAACAGAGCACAGTGACGAATGAAAAGGAAGGAGAACACAAAAGAATTGGGACACTTATGCGAATAAAGAATGATCAGTGCTCGCTTCAGCAGCACATACACTAAAACTGGAACAGTACAGAGATGATGAGCACGGCCCCTGTGCAAACATGACACCCAAATTCATGAAGCGTTACATGTTTTTGGACCTAGTAGCTAATGTGGTGGTGGGTAATCATTGAGCAAAATATAAATACATCAAATCAACAAGTTGTATACCTTAACACTCACACAATGCTTTATGTCAATTAATCTCAAAAAAGCTGGGGGGGGGGTAGTGATCATTTCAATGTAACATATAACCAGGAAATAATACAGCTTGTAACTCAAAGAGATCACATACTCATCTAGCCAAACTTCATCACTTATATACTAATTAAATAAAACATAACCTAGAAATGTATCTTGGCTAAAGTGACTCATTAATTGAAGTCCAACATTTTGAAACATGATAAATATTTGATGCATTTACATTACTGTGGAGAACATAGTTATAAAAAAAGGGATAAAGATTTCTATAGCAATATTTATTCATTTAAATGTTTGAATATATTTAACTCAATACATATTTAAATGAAATATTCTCAGTAGCTCATTGCAGCATCCCTTTCTTCATGAGGGAACACATTTTTACATATCTTTGTCTATTACATAACAAGTATGGAAGTTATCACAACTTAGAACAATACTGTAGCTTCCTCTGCAACCCCGTCACCCTGTCTGCTTTGTCCTACTCATCCCCCCCCAGTATTACCCTGGGTATCCTTCCGCAGATACCATCTACAGGTACAAGCACGCATGTATATACGTACTCCATACAAGCCATAAAACATCACAAGTCGAATTTATCTGTGTAAGGACTGTCTAGGTAAAAAACAGAACATTACCAACCCTCCAGGAGCTATATACATGCTTTCTTTCTTCCAGTTATATACATGGAATCACATAGTACCTGTTCTACTTTGGTCTGGCTTCTTCCAGTAAACATTATTTTATGTTCATCCAAGTTCTGGAGGCACCAGTAGCTTGTTCATTCTTTTGCCAGACAGTATACCAATGAATGAATATACCACAACAATTTCTACTGCTGCTGAACATTTGGATCATTTACAGCTTTGGGCTATTGCATACAGTATGCCATGAACTTTCTCATATACATCTTTTGATGCACTTGTGTATGTGTTTTTTCAGGTATGTAATCAGTAGACTTACTAAGTCAAAGAATATGTATATGCTCAGCTTTAGATTATTTCAAGGTTTTAAAAATGATTCTACCAATTTACATTCCCATCACATATTTATGAGAGTTCAAGCTTCTCTACATTTGTTCCCACATTTGGTATTACCTGGCTCAGTTTTAGCCAATATAGTAGTAGATGGCAGTATCTCATTGTGATTTTAATTTGTATTTAAAGTTCTTAATCCAAACCTAATCCACTCTGCGGATCAGAGCATAGCTTTGAAGGAAACTAGCTAATGGGAAACCTGAAGATGTCTAACAACTGGGCATATGAAGGATAGGATGGAAAGATGGTGCAAAGGCAAGCAGGCCACAATATTCCAGGCAAATGTGACAGCACAGAAACAAAATGGACTCAAAAGACAAAATAAGAGAAAGCATGCCACGTTACAGGATCTACAATGACTACTGGAATAAGAAGCATTGGCAACTAGGGTGAGAGGATTCGTAAGACGTAAACAGCAGTCATCTCAGAAATGGCCTTTATCCTGAGCATTAAAAGGATGTGCTACAAGGGAGTAACTTAAGTGAGATTTGTGCATTCTAGAAAGACAGTGTATATACACACACATACTTGGCTGTACTAGAGAGAAAGAATTTAAGAAGAAGAAGTAACAGAGTAGACAAATAAGAGAGCTATTATAGTAAAATGGCCAAGGTATGATTGTGTCTGAGCTACTGAAGTAGCAGAAAAATGAAGAAAAGTGGGTAGATACCGAGAAGAGTGAATTCACAGGACTTGATAATCTATAATCTGACCAAAGGTTATGGAAGAATTCATGGCTGACACACTCATTTGCCTCTTTTATTACAAAAACCTATTAAAATGCCTATAAGCGAATACAAAATGGAATAAATACAGACACTGAAGACAGAAGGGCATCACTAGCTGAGAATAATTTTATCAAATTCCTGGAACACAGAAAATGAATGGAACCAAATGGACAGAAGACATAGTGAACACAGAACATACAGGGTTTGCACCGGTAGCCACAGGAATCAGAGTAGAAATTAGGAGGCACACCAAGAGGAGAGAGAAGCTGAAAACAAGAGGATTAACAGAAAGTCCTGCTAACAAACAGTTGAACTCCTCTTCCTCCCCACCCTCAACCATACCCCCCATAATTAAACAACAATAACAATTAAATGCTTCCTTAAAATGAACTTGAAAGGGAGTTCTGTTGGCCAAGAATAAAGATCTCTGGCATTTGGGGGGAATCACAGCTTAGTATCCAACTCCTCATTTCTCTAGAGGAAAGCATCCAAGTCCAATAAAACCTAACTGTCCATTCTGAAATATAAACAGACAATTGGTGGGGGGTGGAAGAGGAGAGAGAACAAGATAAACATAACAACTAAGACTAGAGAAAGAGATACAGTGAAGTATTTAAAAAAACACCACTGATCAGTATTCTTAATTACTGTGAAGTCACAAAGTATGACCAAGTGCAATGTAAAGAGGAGGATCAAAGAAGATTAAAGGGCTTTTGAAAATACAAAATATGGCTACCAAAAACTCCTTTTCCAACAGAGGGAATATGGCTTTAACTGATCCCTGAGTCTGTAACAAGTGCCATAGTCCCTGACCACGCTGAAGTCTGGTCCTCAAATGTCACCTCCTCATGAGGTTTTCACTGCTCATCCTATTTAAAATTACAAATTCCCCCTCCTCAGCCATGCCATCTATCTATAGATGCCTTATCTTTATCCTTTACACATCATTCCATTTGAATCTTTTAGAATGAAAGTGCATTCATGAATTACTTTACTGGAAATACTAACACGCAGAATAAAGTTGGGATATTAAATGCTATTTAAACTCCATGTAAAAAGAATAAAGAATAAATATTTTCGTTTACTATTTGCCCTTGTGATAAATTCTGAGAAGTACAACTTCTGGTTCAAAAGAAATGAAAATTATCTCCAGATTATAAAAACAAAAACAATTGAAATTTTAGCCTTATCTTTGAAGCAAAAAGTTTTACAAGATTATTTTTCATAAAGTATCAAAATATCTTGTTACCCTTTATAAAGGTTAAAATCTATAAGGAATTATTTTCCATTAAATACTGGATAAGACAAAAGCTAGACACAGTTTAGATTTTACTGAAACAGAAAGATGTAACTAGCTAAAAACTACATTAAAAGAGCTTAAATTTTCAGACCAGTTTTTATTGCAGTCCTATGTATTTACATCTAAAACCGTTCTTACATTTTTCCTTAAAAAATCAATTTTGAATAATATCTTCTACATCATTTTTTAAAAGATCAATATATTCATATATTCTTCTATTTTTTTCTCCAGGAAAACCATGAATACATCTTCATAAGAATTTTTCCATAAGAAATTCAGACCTATAAAAAGTCAAATAACCAAAAGCACTGAACTGCATACACTCAAGTCTAAGCAGCAGAGCTTTATGAACAGCTGATGCTTAAGTCCTACCTCCTAGACAGTGTCTACACGAAAATTTTAGTTTGCACAAAGAAAAAGAACCTTAAAAGCTCTGAAAAAATACTATTTAACTAGTATCCAGTATCAACTTGAAATACAGAAATAACAGGCTGTATATACTTTTTATAAATTAACATAATATTTACTACTTAGGGACATACTGCAAGAAAATGCTGTAAAAATAATTTTTAAAACTGCCCACAGAAAGATCTTCAGAATGGTTAACATTTTTATTTTCTATTAACATGTTTATGAGATTCTTAATATGTTCTAGGCCATTTTATTTATGTATCTACACATACTCACTTGGTTTAATGTATTATCTGTTTTTAGTTCTTTGTGATTGGAGTACTGGATGTAAATCGGTTGATTACGAAGATGAGGTGTCACAGCAGAATAGTAATTAACCATAGTAATAGCTGCTTCCTCTGTTGCTAGTTCCAAAAATGCCTGGAAATTTAAATAGCAAAAAATTTAATACTATGAATTAAACTCAAGTAGGGTAAACTTCAATGTCTGTGTAATCTACTTAGCTCATTAGAAAGATCAGTGTCTAGCATATAGCCTTTCAAGTTACATTTAGATGCTCTAGCAGGTAGAAGTAGAAATCTTTTATTGAAATTTAAGTATACAATTAAAGCTAACTTCGAAAGAAAGCTCTCTGAGCACATGATGGAAGACTTTTGCCGTCCACTTCTGATTATTCACATACCACAAACATACCTCCCCCAACAAAGGCTAGAGGAAATAAAATCTAAACATTTTCTAGCACCAAAATTTTACCACTCCTAACTTAAGAGTACATAAGAGATCTCCAAGTCATTTTTAAAGCAGTGTAATTTAATAGAGACAAAGAAAAAAATTAAATATCAGATTATTAGCAACATTAACTATATTTAAGACAATATTAAACTTCTCTAAATTCTTCTATATGGCATCATTAGAAACTTTAAAACAAAATTTGATTTTTAATATATCTGGGCCCTACTGCTACCAGTGCATCTATTCAATACAGAATATCTAGAATTAATGGCTGCATTTTTTTCCTAATGCTATCAGTAAGTATTTCCCTGGAATAAGCTTAGAGGACAAGATGCTACTAGTGTCCCTACTGATTTCTGGTAGTACAAACAGCAAAGCCACAATAAAAGAAATACTTCATCTGTACTTCCCACGAGGTCACTGAACAATGGTTCAATTAGAGTTGAGTCCTAAAGTGAATTCAAAAGGTAAAATTTGAAAACTATGGTGATTTATTCATTGTAGCTCCCTAGCATTAGCTTCCCAAACACAGCTACCAGGGAAGGTCAGAGTGAGACTTCTGTCATGCTCTCTGAGAAAAGCAACTTCTATATACTACCTCCTAATCAGGCGAGAGCTGATTCACACCTGCTGGATAGCTTCGGGGTTAATATTTTGTAAATTCTCAAAGAAGTATACCTGATTTTTT